CTGCACCAGTTGGCCAAATCTTCCTTAAAACCAGAATATTCTCCCATTACTCACTTGGATTCAGAAGTGCCATAGGAGTTCTCCTCCTAGGTTTCAGCATCTATTTTAGCAGCTTCTGAGGCAAGGGTGCAAGTGCTGGGATGTCATCCAGCTTTTGCAGACTTTACTGCATGGTAGAAGGAAGTTGCCTTTGTGTGCTGTTGTCACATCTTAGTAGCTGCTGTTTTGAAACTGTTCCAGGAGAACAAATATACTTTGCATTAGCTTTTCAGAAAATTATATGCCTCTGGATCCACCAGTTTGTACTGAATATCTTGCTCCTAATCCATACATCAGCTTGTGCAGTGGTCTGTGTAATGTGTTCTGTTCAGGCAGTAGTATTGATTACATGGAGACTGTGTTTAACATATTAGCAAGGATGGTATTAAAGCAGATTGTACATAATTGTTGTAGTGAAACTTAGGTCTGTACATCTCAGAGACCCATATTTTCTGTGGTTTAATATGCCAGCATTATAATGCGCTTCTATGCTTAGCATAGACCAAAAATTCCTTTAGAAATTATTGAGGCTTGTTCTTGTTAGAAGAAATAAAAATTTCTTTAAATCAAGGCAATACCTTCAGAGTGCAATTAATGGGTAAACAGTTTTATATTATTGATGAAATAAAAGTGCTTTTTTTTCTTCTGTGAATGCTGATTAATAGAAACTGACTTTTGTTCCCATGCAGTAGATTTCCCAACACCAAAGACAGAACTGGTACAGAAGTTTCACGTCCAGTACCTGGGCATGCTACCTGTAGCAAAACCTGTGGGTATGTAACACTTCAGTGAATTCCAGAGTTCCTTGCTTAAACTCTAATGGCTCATCAGCTGCCAGTGTATGACTTCTGGAGGGTAGCACCTCTTCTGTTTCAGTCACATGAATCAGGCATGAAGACATCCAATATTCAGGGCATCACATGAACATTTGTTTTGCAAACAGGGTATTCTGGGAGCTGCCAAGAAGGCAGAGTTTCTTTCTACAGCTTTCTCTGAATATGAGTTCTGCTACTAATGAGAAGGACTGAAACAGTATAAAAGCTAAACAAGATGCTATCCTGGTTTTTTGTAAGCCAGAGGCACCTGCTTTGCTCTTCCAGGGGTGGAGAAATACAACTTCATAATACCTTCTTCCATTATCAAATTAATTTTAATAAGGAATCCAAAACAATCTGTTTTCTGTACTGCTGTGTGAAGATAAAAATATCTGTTGTTATATATATATATATATATTATTTTTCAGTGTTGCATTTTATTCTTTTTTAGGAATGGATACTCTGAACAGTGCCATTGAAAGTCTAATGGCTTCCTCTAGCAAAGATGACTGGTTGCCAGTTACCATGAACGTTGCTGATGCTACTGTCACAGTCATCAATGAAAGAGTAAGGCAGACTGTGTTCTTTAAAACACAACTAAAATAATATGAGTATTGAAATCCAGGAATACAGAAATGGTAGTAGGGTTAATTTTAACTAAAATTCATTTGCTTATTTTGCATTTTATTTCTTTCCAGAATCTGCAGAGGCTCTTACTGCTCATATCAGCTTCAGTTTTATGTATCATTCCAAGCATGTTCTCAGAAATAAATTATCATAAATATTCATTAGATAATTAAATTCAGTGTTTTCCTTTCTAGGAATTTCAAGCCTAAAATGTTGTAGGTTAAGCCCAAAGTAGTAGCAATCCTAAATTCCAAACTGCATTTGCCTTACTCTTGGTATGGATGCCAAGAGTAATATAAAAATCTGTGTTACAGAAGAAAATGTAGAGCATTTTCCATAGAGGTTAACACAGTGAGACTTACTAATGCTGTATTTTAAATACGTCTTTTGATGAGGTACTAAACCAACATCTCCATAACACACCAGTGATAGGGGAGCATATTTTGGAGTCATTATACCTATGTACCCATGTTGTTGGTTTCTTCACAAAACAAGCAGTTTCCAAAGTGTGCAACATTTTAAAATTTTGTGGTAATGCTCAAAGCCTCAGTGGCAGCCTAGAGGGGGAGATCCAGCCCAGGTCTGAGCATGCTTGGGTCATACAGATAAGAAGGAATTACAATAATGTATCAGGATATCCTCCCATTTAATGAAAAGTGGAAGTTCCACAGAGCATGCAGCAGTAATGCTGAACCCTTTGGTTCCTGAGCAGAATGAAGAGGAGGTGATGGTGGAGTGTCGTGTGCGGTTCCTGTCCTTCATGGGGGTGGGCAAGGACATCCACACCTTTGCCTTCATCATGGACACAGGAAACCAGCACTTTGAGTGCCACGTGTTTTGGTGTGAACCTAATGCAGGCAATGTATCAGAAGCTGTTCAGGCTGCTTGTATGGTAAGTAACCTTCTTCAAAGGCATCTAATAGCACTTTAGATTTTCACTGCCTCCATAAATTCGCATTTTTTCAAATTTGTAATTGTATTCATTTCAAGACAGAGAAAAGAAAGATAGAAATAGGAATTAATATTATTATTTAATCAATTAAAATCCAAACATTTTAGTGTTTGAAGCACCAGCTTAGTGAACAATGCCCCTTTAATTATTTTCCCTCCTAACCTCTGCAGCATCTATGCAAATTAGAAATCTTTTCTTTCACTACACAAATTATCTAATGCCAAAAAACCATTTTGCTTGGATTCATGTTATGAAATGCAGAAAATAATCCTTTTTCAAGAGTAACTGAACCCAGAAAACTTACTTTTCAGTTTTCAAATGGGTATTTATATGATTTACACCAATATTTGTTGTGTGCTAATGGACAGTTTCTGCCCAAACATTGACAGACCAATTTCCGATTAACTTCAGCTGAGCTTTTTGCCACAGCCAAAGCAGATGTTTGACTAATGAGAAAATACAGAAGTGTGTTTGAAATGGTCAGTGAATTCCTTGCTGCAGAAATGGTTTCAGAGTGGCTTTGCTCTGTTGCAGTTGCGGTATCAGAAGTGCTTGGTAGCCAGACCTCCCTCACACAAAGTCCGGCCGCCGCCGCCGCCCGCAGACTCGGTGACCCGGAGAGTCACCACCAACGTGAAAAGAGGAGTCTTGTCCCTCATTGACACTTTGAAACAGAAACGCCCGGTGCCCGAGATGCCATAGCTGCTCCAGAGAGAAGGCTCTCCCACCAAGGGACTGAAGATAGCCTGGCCTCACTGGGGCCAGTGAACGGACCACGTCTGCCCTTCCATTGCAGCTGCTGATGCTTCCTCTCCAGAGAGTTCACCCCATGGAAACAATGTTACACACGCATGTTCTCTCCTTCCTGCCACCATCGCCTGATATGAAAAGAAGCATGAATAATTTTTTTGCTGTCAGTGAGTTACATCATGGGCAATGGAAGGTCTGTTTGATTGTAAATACATGAACTTTACCTAAACTCACACAAAAAAGAGAATATGGCCACGTCCCTCCCAGTGAACTCGTGCTAAAATCTTTGGAGTGAATGATGCCTGAGTTAAAAATTTCAACTTCTTGAGCTGGATTTGTCATAAACCAATCTTAAATCCTACAGCACTTTGCTCTGTTTTCAACACTGGAATAGGTATCAAGTATTAGCTACCATTGAATTACTGTAGATTAAATACCAAGTTTTATTTTTTACTGAACTGCACCTGTTAGTTTTAAATTGTTTGTCAGCATTGGTCTAGCAACTACTTTAACATCTCCCTGACATGTTTTTGAATTGTAGTGTCATTATGTCATCTTCTGGTTACACATTATGGTCTTACAGAAGAATTTTGTTTAAAACCAAACCAATGATGAAAAATATAGAAGTGTTTTCAGTAATTGAGTTGCAGGCTGATCCAGTGAAGCTTTTAAGCTTTAAACATACAAATTCAGCTGCTAGCTGTTAAATTTATTCTCCTAAATCTATCATTAATTCATCAAAAATAATTTGTTTCATGGAGGGCTCAAACCAATCAGGAATAAGAAGTAGTTAGTGATTTTATTCTCTTACAACTGTTATAGAGACTAAACTATTCCATACCTTTTCTATACAAGTGTTTGATGAAATGTTCAGTTCAGTGTCTGGTTGCGTAATTCCCCCTTCCCCTTGGAGTTTGTTGCTGAATACTTAGCATGCCAGAAGAACAATTACATTTCTTGTTATTTACAAAACTTCCTGAAATTTATTTTACTTTCAATAACTTTTTGTTACTCTTGTAACAAAATAAGAAGAGAGTTGTTTTTTAACAGGGTAGTGTTTCAGGTAGTACAATTGGATTTCACTGCTTTTGCTCCAAAGACTTCATCTGATTGATTTGCTTTACACACCTGCAGACCCTCAAAATCAGCCCAGCATTGCCCTCAAAATTGTACCTCAGGCTGATTTTGAAATGCAGTCCTGCATCTTCAGTCTCTTCCTTTGTCATCTTCTGTCTAAACCTGCAGATTGATACAGATTTTGGAACATTATGTTTAACTAGTGTTAAAAATGTTTTGCCTCCATTTATAGCTAGGTTCCAAACTGTAACTGTCTCCCAAGTCTGCAAATCTTGTGATAAAGGAGCACTGGCAAAGTTTTTGTTACAATAGCTCTTTTATTTTAATATGCAAGAGACTGTTATAAACAAACTATTTTCTTTTTTATTTCCTTGTTTGAAGAAATTAATGACCACACCTGGCGAAGTAACTTAGGAACACAACAGGAAAATAATGATGATTCAAGAAATTTCTGCGCTGAAAAATGCAGGAAAATCATTACCAAACTCAGTGTGATGTATGAGCAAGTGTCAGGTGAAGGCTGGCTATGCAACTATTGTAATTAAATTTAGCTTTCTACAATACCCTCTGAAGAGCTGATCCTCTGAGGATCTCAGATCTCTTCATGACCACGATCCTGCACGTCGGGCACTGAAGCAGCTCTTTCCCCTCTCAAGGCTCACGCTCTTGCCACCTCCTTTGCACCACCTCTATTGCCTGCACAGCTGGAGAAGCTGCTTGTGCTGAGTGCACAGGGAGGGCTGGAGGGGAGGGCGTGCAAACAAACCCAGAGCACAAAGCGTGGGGATGGCAGCTTGCATATAGCTTCTGTAGTTCCCAGTCCTGATCCCAGCCACCCTGCTAGGAGCAGTGTAAAACTCACTTCTAGCACAGAATCACACAACTGTTTGGTTTGGAAGAGACCTCAAAGGTCATCTCATTCCAAACCCTATCAGAGGACACTTTTCACCAAAGCTGTCCATCCAACCTGGTCTTGAATATTTCCAGGGATGACTGCTCTCAAACTGTGGTGGCTAACAGGTACCCTTAGGTAGGATTGTGATGTTAAAAGTTTCCTTGTTCATCCTTGTGCTAGTGATTCACATTTTATTTTATTTTAAATTAAATACTTTGAAAGTATCTTTTTAAAGTTCCTGCTGACAACATCGTGATTTGAGATTGGCAACTGTTGTACAGCAGTGAATTAATTTTAAACAGTATAATGGAATTTTTTCATTGCATCTGCACCATGCTGATTCTTCCCAGGAGAGATCCAGACTCTCTTTAACTAAACCAACACTTGGCAAACAGCAGTGTAAAGGTTCTACATCCGTGTTGTCAAGGCTAGAACATCTGGTTATCTTTCATTAGCAATGGATGCAACTGCAGGCAGGGCTGAGGAGAAGACAGAAGGGTATTTGAAAAGCTGTGCATCACTCACCCATGTATGTTTTAAAAGGTTTATGTCTGTTAACAAAATGCTGTTGATTTTCCAAATATTTAAGTAGTGTGCTTGATGATTTGACTATACGTGGCCTTTTTGCTTCAGTAGAGCTCCTAATTCTCCAAAAGATTTAATATACACCCAGGTGTTTGCAGAATCAGAGCCTAGTATTGCAAAGCCTATTATCTTTTGTTTCACAATATATTCAGACACTCTTTTTACCACGGCCAAAAAAAGTATGTATGAGGTGTGTGTGTGTTTTTGAGCAACTGCAATTGTTCTAGTTGATGTTATAGCAACCCTTCAGTTATCTATGCATTTTTTATAATACCTAGTGATTCTGTAGGCCGGCAGCCATGTTCACTATGCCTTGTATGTCTGATGCCATATTCTAACTTAACCTGTTAAATACAGCTTAAAATATTTTTATTTTATTTATTCTATTTTTACTGAAATATCCTGCTTTATTATGTTGATGTATTGTCTTTACTGGATGTGCTCTTGTAACATTCTCCACTCTGTATACTATAGGTTGTCTTAAAAAAGGCAGGCTTTGTAATTATTTATAGTCACATTTTTATTGAAGTCTGTAGAAGAATCATGTAAAGCAAAGCTAATGTTGTAATTTTTTTCAATGCAAGCAGTAAGTTAGAGGTATCACATGTCAGTCAGTCATGTCATTAACACACCCCCTTGCAGAAGCAAGGAGATTTATATTCACAGTCAATGACTAATAGATAAAAGCCTTTCTTTTGAAATCTGTAGTGCTGGCTGTAGGTTTTATTTAAGCCACTTACTGTTTCATTTACAGGGGAGCAAGGAGGTGTGGGAGATGCAAGGCTATGGAGGCCACCTACAGGGTGGTTAACTGGGAATGACAAAAATAGCATAGGAATAGCACAGAATCCATTCACAATAAAACAAGGTTTAGTGATATATTTCCTGTGCAGAGTCACTTGTACCTACAGAAGTATTATGCCCTTCAGTGGCAGAGGAACAAAAATTGTGGAGTATCTAATAGCTCACACCCCGGCTGTCACTAAGGGTTCTACATTTCTTAATTTTATCAAGCATTTCATAGATCATTCATCATGGAATCTAAAAGTGTTAGTACATCACCCATGGAAAAGAGAACATTCTCATTTCAAGAGCCATTATGGGCACAGCATTTCAGCATTACCCCCAAATGCATTACTCCTTTCTTGGGCACATTAATTAACACATTGTCACATGTGCTGTCCCATCAGCCCATGCAGGTTTGATTTAACAACAGTGAGACAGAAGGAAACACAACACTGTTTATTAGCAGAGCCCAGTCTTACATAAAAGTACATGACTGACAACAAAAAGGACAGTTTTCCCTGCTGTTGACCACTTCTCCATATTTAAATGTAATCTGTTCTGAGAATAAATTTAGCTGCATAAAGTGATTGTCTCACCTGTTACTGCTCCATGAAACTGCAAAATTATTTTGTTCAGAATGGTGGTTGAGGGAAGGGAAAAACATACTGGTGGTTTAGAGGCAGTAGCAGTACTCTGAGAACTTTTGTATCTGGAAAGCTGAATCAATAGTTTCTAGTTGAAAATGACAAATAACTGGATTACAGAAAAGTAGTTACATAAGATGCAGTTTTACTGAAAAAAGACTGTTACAGGCATCTACCTACAAGCCTGAAGTCAGTCCCAGGTGTTGCCACCATGTGATGTTCCATGCTTACAAAGTAAGCTGCTGACCTGCAGTTGAAAAATTCACTCTCTGATATTCTTGGTAAGCCATCAAGATTCTGACTGGTTTAACCTCCATAGTGTGTTAAAAATGCAAATTCCTGAAAGCAAGACAAGGGCAAGTGAGGGACATCATGGCACATATTACGTAAGTAGCCCAGAAATTCTGTTATTAGACACATGTATGTTGTTTTACAAGTAATTTCAACTTTCATAATGAATTATACAGATCTTGATTTTTTTTAAAAAGATCATTATTTAACTGCAGAATCTCTTAAGTTTATTTTAAGCATTTAACAACCATATTGGGGGAAAAAAATCTCCACAGTGTCCATTCCTTCCATCCAACATGTAGAATCCCTCCTCCTCCAAGATGTTTTTGAAATAAAATAAGATTTTTTTTTCTGGTTCTACACATGGCATGTGTATGGGTCTAAATCTATCCTAACAAGTTTATTCCGAAATAAGAGTAGAGTTCACTGTATTACTGGAGCAGGCAAGGAGCATGGATTGCTCACAGGGATATGCAGAGGGTGAGGGATGTCTTTGTATAGGACAGCTGGCTCACATTAAAATGCTGTAAGAAATTTCACTGATTCAGTGAAGCAAAGATATTTATAAGATGAACAAGAGCCAGCTGCCTACACTGCTGGGGTAATATCATTCACATCCTTTCTTTAAAAGGTACTGCTGATCCCGTAACACTGACTGGTGTGGGTGAAGACAAAATAGAGATGTTATAACATTTTCTCTGGATGGGTCTAAATCCAGACTTGTATGTCAAACTGGTTAAGTCCCACACTACAGTGGTGATGCTCCTGGCAACACTTCCCAAGAATCTGAAATGGTTGCCTAGAGGAAGATTTCTGGGCCACAGATACCTTTGTCTTTCTGTATTGTTGTGCTGTCTCTTTCATTTTTACAAGTTCTAGATACAAATCAGGTCTATTGTTAAAAGTATCTCTGTGCCTCCTTTTATCCTCTACTCAGATTACAAGACAGTTGCAGATGTTTTACAGTTATTTTATCTTTGCTAGCAAAAGGGAGCAGCTTAGAAGCCCACAGCTGTTTCCAAAGACAGGCAGCTAGTCTTTGTCCAGTCACTATTCAGCTGACTAGCAGTAACATTTATAAAAATGTTACCTTGACAGTAGCAGATCTTTTCAACTATGAACTGTTAAGAAATTGATAAAAAGCAGTTATGAACCATGACATAGTCTGATGCGACATTATATGATGATTCAGTGTTCTTAGCATGAGAATATTTGATCTATTTTTCACTGTTAGTATTTCAGTGCACACTTAAGAAGAAACCAAGAGAACACACACTAGAAAGCCTATGCATGGGCTTCAATGTACTTGGCCAGTTTCCTGGACAAAAGTTCACATCTATTTTTAAAAATACAAGGCTTATTTTCCATGCATCTGTCTTAAGTGGAAACTCACAAAAATAGTATCTAGCACTTGTAAAGAAAAGCCACTTTAAAAAATTCAGTCTCACTTTAAAAACATCAATTTGACACTGATTACCTGTACAGGTTCAGATACAGTGAAGGATTGGGTATACAATTCAACTTGTCACTTCAGACTGTATAGCAAGAGGCTATAGGTTTTTGACCTCACTTCCCCCAACAATATATCGGCCTTAGGCAGCTGAGCTCCATTCACTTAAAGTATGATTACTGGACGAGAAGTTACTATCTAAACATGGATATTTCTATATACATAGCCCATAATACATCTTTCCTAAGGCCAGATTATCCTTGCATAAATTTATACTGTAATTTAAGACTATTGATTAGGATACAGTAACCTTTACCTTCTTTACAAAGGGAGGGCAGAGTCTGAAGGTTCATACAGCCAAGTTGGCTTGACCATTTTTGACCAGGGTGGTGGAACTATCCAACCACTTGGACCCTGTGCTCCAGTCTGGCCATGAAAGCCACGTTAAGTTGATACCCTGAGTTTGTTTCATTACAGCCTTTCATATGGTGTTATCAGTGAAGGCAAAGTGATTGTTGTGGGCTTCAGTACATCCCTGTTCTGTTCTGTGCATGCCTTTTGATCAGGTGTCTGTCTCAAAAACCTTGCCCAGAGGTGACAGATGAGATGTTGGCTTCTGCACTTTCACTGGTGCTGTGTATCAGTCAGGGTTCACAGATTTCTTCAGCTCAACACAGCTGTCTGTTCAGGGCACATTCTTTTGCTGTGTGTTACTGGCTGCTTTTTTCCCTTGCCCAGTCTTCTGTGGTGTATCACTGGCTGCTTTTTTCCCTTGCCCAGTCTCCTGTGCTGTGTCACTGGCTGCTTTTCTCTCTTGCACAGTCTTTTCTTTTGGGGAGCCTGCATGGTTTTTTTGCACCTTACTGGCTGGGCTTTTTGGGCATATGGGGCACACATGTGTTTCTTGTATCTTATGGGCTGCTTTAGGCACAGGAGCCTTAACCTTAGCTGCAGTTGGGCGGGGAGGGAGCTTTGCAGCTTTTGGCTTACTGTCACCAGCAGCAGCCTTACGCCTACGTTGTTTTACTTTCGGCTTTTTCACCTCTTCTTTTGGTTTTTCTTCAACAATGCCATCTAGTAGAGCTTTTGCTGCAGCAGAAGCCAAAATGTCTTTAGCAGACGCCTTTTTCTGAAAATTTCACAGGAAACAACAGTGAATCTAAGCCACAATACAGAGCTTCTCAGAATTTACTCCATGAGAAAAAGAGCAGAATCTAGCAAAAGGACTTAAGTTGCATGTGATAAATGTTAACCAAACTATTTATTCACAAAACTAGGAACTTGACTTGTGTAAAAAGGTACTGGAGCATTTGTTCTTCATAGGCTTTCTTCTCTGCTGACCCAAAGAGGGGAAGCTCAGTTCTGCCTCTGTGATGTGTGTCTGTCTTAGCAACCAGCTGTTTAACCCCAGCCCGTCGCCAAGCCCCACACGGCCGCTTGCTGAGTCCCCCACCAAGAGAATCAGGGAAGGAAATGGAAGAGTAAAGCTAGGGAACTCCTGGGTTAAGATAAAGATTGTGGTTCCCTGGGAAGACCAGTGCCATTACTGCAAAAGTCCTCCCTTCCTCCTGCTTCCCCCCACTTTATGTATTGAGCACGATCTCACAAGGTCTGGGATATCCCTTGGTCAGTTTGGGTCACCTGTCCTGGCTGTGTCCCCTCCCAGCCTCCCACACACCCCCAGTGCCCTCACCAGGGTGGCACTATGGAAAGCACAAAGGGCCTTGGCTCTGGGTAAGCCCTGTTCAGAGGTAACAAAACCATTTCTAGGTCATCAACCCTATTCAGCACAAATCCAAAACACAGCTCCACACCAGTCACTGTGAGGAAAATTACCTCCACCCAGCCAAAACCAACATATTCCCACAGTGACCTGTTCTGTAGTGTGCCTGTATGAATAAAATATCCATTGTGTGTGTGTATCAGAAATACTTACTAAAATACAGAAATTTCAGTAACATTAAGCATGAATAATTTTCACAGTAATGAAAGTTCTTGCTTATAATAGATAAGCAAGGAACTCTCAAACTGGGAACCGGCTCAACATCCAAGTATATAAAGAGAAACGATGGGAGAGAAACTATTTACAGCTAGCTAAGAATGTTTCTGTAAACAAGGAATTTCAGTTTAAATTGTAAATACATGTTTTCTACTTTGTGGAAAACGTTCATTTGCTGAATCACCTAAAAACTGGCCATTGGAGCAATTGCTTCTTTGTATTAGAATTTAACCCAAAAAAATTACTTGCATTAACTACCTGCAACAAAAGTGTTTGTTTCTCTGGAGAGAGACAATATGGTAGAGAGATGAACATAGCATGATTAATTAAAACTCAGACCAAGTTTAAAATATTTAATATTGTAAAGAAAGAGGTTAATAATAGGTAACTTGAAAGGCTTTTCATATGTAATTCTCTTATTCTTAATAAAATCTACCTTCCCCCAAGAGGCAAGCTTCTTTCAAGCACTGTAATTGCAGTATGACAGAAAATGGTACAAATAACCAAGACCTCCTATCTTTAATTTGCAATGAAATTGGGATTAGTTCTTTCCCACAGCCCTTCCACTTTTGGTGGAAAAAATGTGTGTTTTTCTTAGAAACAAGAGGAAAATGTTGATGCTCAGAGATGCACACTAGCCCTTTAAGGCCTTTCCTCAGGAATCATGCCAAGACTTTTCCGTTTACTCAGCAAAAGTCTCCTGTCTTTCAAGCTAGATTTGCATATGCCTGAGTTTGGGAAGGAAACATATTCATACCTATTTTATTCAAATTGTAATAGTGACCCATAGGGATTAAGATTTCAGCTGCTTGGAGACTGGAAAATCTTGGTGACACATATAACAAATACATTTACTAGATACCATTTATCCTGAGTCTAATCAATCTGTGCATTTCATTCCAAAGTGTGATAACAGCAATGTATTTCCTCCAGATCTTGCTGGCACTAACTTGGATCAAGGGTCTGCTCTGATCATGAGCTCCACAACAGGCACAGCTTTTAAACTTGTGCTCAGCATAAAATTCCACAAGTGGCACATTTCAACTGCTCACCTGTCTTTTGGTCTTAAGACAACTAAAAAGCAGCCAGGATTTTTATTTCAAATCTCCATTTTGTTATTCTTCTGTGGAAAGTTGCACTACTCATCTTCTATGAAGTGATTTTAAGTGTTTATTTTCATAGCTTACCTCTCTCTCTAGAACAGCTAGGAAACAACCACTGGAAATTTCTGATGGCTCTATTTTGAAAAACATTTCAGTGGAAGACTCTGAATCAGAGCAAGTAGAAAAAATAGAAGGAATAAGCCTGTGAAAAAGAAGTGGAAGACCAGAAAATAATATTTAAGAATATAACAGGAAATAAACAAGGATATATTAAAAGTAATTTTCAAATTATGTCTTTCATTAACATAGATTTATCATTATTTTAAAAAAATGCAATTCAAGAATGGCATGAGAATTCATCTTTTTAGAATTAAGTGGGGGTTTTTTTTCATTTTTTTTCAGTAATTCCTTTTTTTTCCCAATTAATAAGTATATTAATCACCAGATAATAAATACATAATATGACAACAAAAAACTATGTTCTTTCTCAGTTGTGCAATTATTGAGTGATCAAGTTGTCCCTGAAGTTGGGGAATGGTCTGAAAACACTAAGGAACTGCAGAAATTGTAGAGGTGTTGACTTTGAGTTATAATAATAATAGTACTAATAATAGATATCATAACTAATACCTATCTAAGCTAAAAATCTTAGGCTAGGAAAATTTGCTATTTGTTCTAATTGAGGGCTTTTTCTCCAATTTTACAGTTTTGCCTCTTCTGTTCTCTCTGAATTCCAGAAGTACCTGGCTGTTACAAAGCAGTCTCAAGGACTTGGCTCATATGGCTAGCAAACTATACTAAGCTGTCTCAGTATAGAAAAACACTATCAAAATGTCCTTTTGTAATTATAATTCCCTCCTCTTCACTGAGGGAGTCCTACTCCTTAATGCTCCACTAACTCTCTTGTGAGACAGAGGTTTATTCAAAGATGGTTACAGAGAAATGCATTCAGTATTTGAAAGCAATAACCTGGTTTGGCTGGCTATTTCACTTTTAATGGGAAGTCTGCAAAACTGCTTGTTTCCAAGTTCTCACCACCATCTGGATTTTCTATGTTCCTTGGAACTTGATAAAACAGGCTGCAAGGCTCAAATCCTCCTCACATTACTAAATAAAGCTCTTAAGTCTTATGACACAGACTTTTGATTTTACATCAGCTTATTCAATGGAAAAAAAACCCCAGTGGCAATCTTTTATTGTGTACAAGTTACTGTTCACCAGGAATCTCTTCAATGACCCTGGAAAATGATGTAGAAATTAATTCAAATTTGATAGGCCAAAGCAAAATGCATGAGTGGTATAGACTACTCTATACACACCTGTCTGCCATGTGTACCCTTGCTTTAGGTAAAACTGCTGCTGTAAACTGTCATATCCTGAAGGTAAGTTCAGCTTCACCAGTGTGAACATGTTTTAAATCACCTTTAAAACTGCAGAGCCCTAAAACCAGCTGTGTGACCCCAAACTCCAACAGAGCTTTCTTTTGTTTGGCACCACTTCAGTACTGCAGAGTAATTCCAAAAAGATAAAATGCACATAAGCAAAAATGTTTTAAGAGTTTCCTGAAAGCCCTCAATTTTCTTGGAAAAGGGAATTAGTATTCAGTAGATCTTTGATGATTATACAACATGTTTTATTACGACTTGTCTCTCAAAGATACTGGGAACGTGGGGGTTAGTAACTCTGCAACAGCCTTTCATTCTGTACTGCACTGTTTTAGTCAAATAAGTTGTCTAATTAATTCTAAGAAAAGTGTAAAAGGAATTTTTTTAAGTAGTACATGCATCTTAAATGGCTTGAGCTTTCATCTTAAGCATAATCACTCTGTATATTTTATTTATGGCAATCTATTACTGCTCTGTTTGTGCTGATTACCAGCAGCTTTATTGTAGCAAGGACTATGATGAAACATCCAAGATACTGCAGGGAAGGAGGAACTGAATCTGAAATTGTCATTTATGAAACTCAATCAATTGTCAGTCAGAAATTTGCTCAGGTCTGAAAAAATCCTAATGTAATTTTATTGTCCTTTTCTTACCATCCAAGATTGCCTTTTTGAAAGTGTAGTATCATTGGTGCTTTGACAACATTCATAATGCTTCTGCACAACAGTGAACAGATTTTGGCTTAGCTTTGTGGGGAGGGAGGGGTTTTACACAAGGGGGGATTTTTAAAAAAATAATTAAAGGTCCAGGAACTTTTTTAAAAAAATAATTTCTATGTCATGAATTTAAATATTATTTATATTCAATAATTTAGAGACCATTACATTCCAAGGTTCCCCAAGTTCTCCCCATAGAGTAACAGCTGCACAGAGATCAAGACAGGCTCCAGAAAATTTCAAAGTCCAAAGGAAAACACAAGCAAGAGGCCATAAATGCTTTTGGTCTAGCACACCATCCTTGGCAAGACATACCCTGATTTCATCCCACTTAATGTAAATAGACTGCTATTTTCTATCAGTGAATTTGAAAAAATATGCACTTTATTGCACTGTGTCTTATGAATAACATACAACTTTTAAACCTTCTTTGGACTGGACACAGTTAATATTTACTCTTTTAATCATGCAATATTTAGTTACACTGAATATTTGAGCCACAGTACCTTTTCCCTTTGATAGCCAGACTATTAACTAAGGTAATATAAAATCTAAAAATACAGTATGACTCTTCTGTGATTTTTACAACATAAACTCTTTTAAAACTGCATCCAGTAATCCACTATTGTATCTATGTGCAAGTGAGTGCCAAGTGTTTGCACTTATGTGAGTGAAAGGAAAATACAGAAAATACCCATCAATCTTTGAACAATTCCTCTGGCTGACAGGGTGATAGCTAACAGGTTATAAGTACACATGAAGTATATAGCATACATACTTTTTTCATCTAAGTTTGTGTTTTCCATGATTGCACAGGATGATCTCTTACTGTAACCTGTCCTTCCCAGAAGTCATTCATCTGAATACAGCAATGAGCAATCCTACAGCAAAGGGTTCTTATTCTTCTGTATGATTCTTAAATTTAAGATTTAATTTCTTTTTCCTTTGAAATTGATCATTTTACATCAGAAGCAGAGAGCATGCTAGCAAGTTAGTTTCATTCTCTGAACACTAATACAGTAATAGCAATAGCTCTATCTGAAGAATGTTATTTCCAACAGTGATGCTTTCCTCCCATCTTAATTTCAGATGAACAAAAATATTAGATGAAAAAGTCAATAGAATACTGCTAAGCAATCTCATAAACAGAAAGAATGGCATGACAGGCAGAAAAAGCTATTTTAATTTCATGCAAGATACATATCAGTCTAGGATAAGAATTATGCCACAATTCAAAGTCACACTTTAATTTTTCCACAGATAAAACTACTCATTCTGTACCTATAGCGTCGTGCTTTATCTCTCTCCACTCCAGATTCCAGTGCTTTTTTCACTACAAGTTCATTTTCTTCTGGGTAAACTGAGCAAGTGCAGTAAACAATAGCTTGTACTTTGTTAACTACAAAACAAAACACAACTTCTTTACTCTTCAGATTCTTCATACTGACAGTGGTTTGGTAAGGATTAAAAGCATCATAAAAACTATGTCACTTTTAACTCCCGATCTCTAGTGTTTTTAAATAATTAAAATATTTTCAAACATTTGCAGATTGCACAAAGTCAAAGCTGTCTCCAGTCTTTTCACACAGCTACCAAAGGAGAGAGGAAAAAAGAGGCAGCATGCAGATGGGGGGAGAATACATTTGCAGAATTTCTAAAGCAGAGTATAACTAAGCCATAAGCCAGCTCTCTACAGAATACTGAAGAGTATTATATTAATGTCTGTGGACACTAGGGCACAGAAACACCTTCAGACTGGAGGAAATCATTGTTCAGGGGGTTTGGTTACGTGCTTATTCATAATAATTTGTGCATTTTTAACTATATTAAAACTGGTGATACTACAATGGAATTGATAGCACAAAGTCTTCCCAAAAATTGGGAAACCAGCACACTTACATTTCAGTGCATGAAGCAACTCATTAAGCTGCCTCTCAGCAAGAATCCTCAGTTTATCCTCTGACACAAATCCCTGGAAAAGGTCTTGTAGCAAATCTGCATCTAAAAGCAGACAGTAGTAAATTTAGTCTTGCAAACTGGTGTCTCTTACTTGCTTCTAGTTAATGAAGATTGCACAGTGAAAGGATTTATACAAACAGTCAATACAGGAATGTAATCAAGTAGAAAATTATATACATATTGGTATCTTCAAATAAATTTTCTGCCTATATCTTTTTACTTTAAAAGAAGCTATACACACTCTGCTCCCCAGAATCACCCTCACACTTTCATACTATCAATCTGAAGCAGTCACAGAATCATGCAAGTTAATTTATAGCAATTAAAATAAAGAAGGTTTCTTTAATAAAATTATACAATTTACGGAAGCACCTGCGCTGATTAGACTAAAATACTTGGATCTATTTCTACCAGAAAGCATGAGCTAGATATTGTATCAAAATTTACCTCCATGTTCACTTAAAATAAGCTCCATTGGATTACCAGCACCCAGTTCAGAGCACTGTGGTATCAGCAAAATAACTGTTGCCTTTTCAAGTCTTGGGTCTGTTGGCCGAAGCTCAGTAAAGTCTTCATGTAACAAGCAAATATCTGAAAAACAGGGAAAACTCACCACTTACAGACTGCAAGCAAGCCTGCCTACAGGTGACAGAGGTGAAGAGACTGTGGTGTTACACGGAATTGGACAGAGCTGGAGCCTGCTAGATTCAGATTCTCCACAGTATGGCCTATGGATTCAAGCTGATTGAAAAGCTGCATCTTCCACTGAGAAGACAGTTAATGTGCTGCATTCTGTCCTGTCAGTGTCCTCCAGGTAAACTGGACAGGTGTGTCTGTTTTGGATTAACACTCTCAAACAGCTGGAAATCAGAGTGAAAGCTAGAGCCAAAACACCAAAAGTTCCCCACTACCAGCTACACCAACTGCTAAGTAGTAGTCACTTCTACAGAAAAAATCACCAATATTTCAGGAGATATGATCTGTGCATCTGTGATAGGGTTAGACTAATTAACTTGACTGTAGCTGAAGAGCTATCAGCTCACCTTGTGACAAAAAAGTTGTTAGTGCCATCCCCAAGCCACCAAAGAAGGGCTCTCTGAGTTCTGACAGAATTAGTCCATATTTACAGATATCACAAACTGTATCTCAATACTTCCTCAATACCAACTGTTTCAGCACCTACTTGTACATCCCATGTGACTGAAACTGTTCATCAGTTCTTCTTCTTTTGCCGAAGATTTCACACCACAAACAAAAATGCTGGAGCTGCTGTCATTTGTCAGCACTGACATATGGGCAATGGTCAGGTGGGAACCCAAGTGAGCCATTATAATGTCAGCACCCTCAGTCAGCAGCGCGCGTGCGGAGTGCACGGCGAGGCTGCGAGACTTGTCCTACAACACAACGACACAAAAGTTAACTGTGATCACCTATCTTGGCTTCTGTGAATGCCAACCTTCTTTTCCAAATGAGGAAAGTCTTCCATTCATAGGAAATGGAAAAGAAAGGAGGAAAAAAACTAATAAGGGATATTTGCTAATACAGAATTAAATACATTACAAAACCAAGCAGTCACTCAATAAATTTAAATAACTTAAATCTAAATAATACAAGAAAAAGCATAGTATCTGTAGGTGAAATTAAAGTATATATCATCCTCGTAAGGAGGAACTCCTACCAACAGCTTGTTTCAGAAAAGACAAACATTGGCCACAATTCAGGCAGAATTCATCCTCTGAGGGAGCTTAACAGAGAAATGCAAAACTATTCACATAGCTCTTGATGATAATTACAGGAGAAATGTTGCCCTTGTAGATCAAAGATCAAGATTTTGCTGAAATTTGAACAGAGAGGCAGATAGGAATGCAGAAAGCACAAGAGACATTTCCACAAGAGTAAATGCTCTTGTACCACTGGTGATTAAGAGAAATTTTATCAAATTACTTAAAAAGGCAAGGAGTGATGATACTGACCACAATTACCAGGTCTTGCATCAAATCTGACAAAATGATAATAAATAGAAAGGGAAAAATAAAGTGCTAAGCTTTCAAATTCACATCACTGTCTATGTACACAGAGCATTCAAGCAACACCCTACCCCACCACAGAGATGGAAGTTTTGATGGTTTTATTTACTCATTTTGAATACTTTTAAGTAATTACACTCAGAATTTGTTCCCATTACCTACCGGGCTGTCATCTATAGTTCTTTTCTGTAAGTATTGTATTTAAAATCTACAAACTGAAATGGAATATTGACTACTGAGTCACTTTTTAAGTTGAGCAATAAATTTTGAGACTAAAGTTTTCAGACATGTAGTGAAAATGCTGGTTGAAATGTTTCTGCTAGCATTTCAGATAATTCATGGTTGTGTTGATGCATGGTTACTGCAAGCCCCTACTCTAGAACAGAAACCTTCCACCAAACTTCACTGGGAAGCTCAACAATGGCAAGTCAGGAAAAAGACCAGTGGAGATTATGGAGATCAAGGAACCACACTGCACAAAATACAAAGAACTGTGATCATTCCATCACAAACATGCATTTGAAGAGGAAGAAATATTACAATAGTATATCACTATCTACTAAGTGAAGGAAAGCATATGGAGTTATATTGAAACTTTCCTCACATTTTCAGAAGTGAGACTGTCTCTTTTGACCATTTTTATATTTACTTCAACAGTTCTAAAATTAAATTTGAAACATTCTACTAACTCAATTACAGCTATCAATTAAGCATTGACATTTGTATGCTACATTTAGTAAGTGGATCAGTTTGTAACCTAATTATTACAAATGTCCAAAACCTTATGAGAGTTTATCACTGCCTGATTTAATAGAATAGTCACTCAATTCACAACCTCTTTCTAAAACAAAACAATTATTTCAATTTTCAGATCATCTGACTCAAGGCTGAACATCAACTCACCTGCAGCAAGAGTTTGCAATCTGCAGAAAGATCTAAATTAAGCAGTTCTTCTTTAAGAGAGGAAGGAAAAACCAATACATCTCGGCAATGTTGGTCCACAGCATATGTGTAATGGTCAAAGTCTGACACAGATTCAACCTTTGTGAATCCCTTCATCTCCAAATCTTTGATAACATCTTCAAGGCTGTTAACATACAACTCTGACCATTAAATATACAAGAGTTACTTAAGCAACATAATTTACATTGATTATAAGAATTTTTTACTTCTGTTATTGTGTGTGTGTATGCATATGCATACATGTATAGGTATAAAATGCATACTGCCTAATGCAGGAGGGAAACTTACTCTCCTTTAGGCATGTAAGTTCTGGTTTGAAACAGTTAATAAGTCTGAGACAATTAATTAAAAACGAGGTATGTGTCTCCAGAGAATGATTCAATGCTTCAAAACAGAAATGTCTATGTGCTCAGGAGATGCTGTAGTAAATTTACTGCTGGGATGCTGTATTCTTTCAATTGCCTTCAATCTAGCCCAACTCACCAATAATTTTAATGGCTGACACTGAAAGAATCCTTGTGTAAATGTAATGAAGGCATAACTGCTGAGGTTAGCAATTCAAATATCATAAAGATTTAAAGGTATATATATAGCAGGAGATGTTTCTTGAAATGCTATTTTAGACAGTGCCATAAGTTTATACAGTACATTAAACATGGGATGGAAGGAGAAGATTTTATTTATTTCCTATTTAAGGGCTCTAAACTCACACTCAAAGTAAGGTACATTATCTTGAAGAGCCTATAACCTAAGCACTGAACACTGATCCAAGACAAGAGAAGTAAAACAAAATTCTTAAAAACGTTACAAAATGGATTACCTGTCTAACAAAACAGATAACAGGATAATGTGGTATGGTTCATGTATCAGTTAGTACAGAACTGGGAACAGCAGTGTTACATCTATAGTAGCCTAGAGAATACAAGGATTTTAAAATGTGTATTTTAATTTAAAGTTTACATTATCCTTACAGAATAAACAGCAGGTTTAAGTATTGTGTTTTAACACCCTTTGTCAAGATTATGGTTTAACTAATACATCTGCTTTTAAAGACATTTTCTCTTATTTTTGGTCACCAAGTTAACTCACTCATATTTTTTTCTAACTTTTTTTCCTCATTTATCTGAATGACCCACACAAACAACAGAACAGGAAGAAGAACTGTTACAAAATAGTGTATAAATACCACTACTACAATATATAAAAACTTCCAAAAAAAAACCACAATGGCACTGCACTAAGCAGAATTTTCCTGTAAGAATTTTTAATTACTGCTAAAAGTATAACCTGGAAATTCTAAAACAAGTGTGTAGCAAACTGTATCACTTCATATGCAAATACATCAATATCAGATGATATTTTAAAGATCTTACCTGATTTTAAATGTGTTTATCCAAAAACAGATAGGTAAAGCAGAAGTCCTTTGTTCCTGCTTTGATATGGTTTCTGGTACAAAGTATTCAATTGAAAGAGCATCATGTTTGATGCGACATCGTGCTAGTGCAGCTGCCAGCTTGGTCTCATAGCTATAAAAACAGTCACAAGTTTAGTAAGTTTTATAAATGTTTTCATCAGCTGTTAGCATGCAACATTTCTGTTACAAAACCATCTTGCTCAGAAACCAAATCCAAAAGGGACACCTTCTTCTGCAAGCTGCAACAGAAAATACAGTTACAGAACATTTCTACCCCAGACAACAGCAGATGCAAGGTGTTATTCAATAGCTATGATTATTTTATTTAAATCAGGCAGGACTGGAATTATAGCAGGGGACTCTCAAATACATCCATTTTCTCAGACAGTTAAAAAAAAATCTCAGCATGTTTTGGAATGGCAATGAGTGGAATACAACCATCAGATGCATTCAAACATTTGAAAAATGAAATACATACATGTGCAGAATGAGCATTTGATGAAAGCTGGCCCCTAAACACGTACAAAAACAATGCAAGTATGATGGCAACCAAGAGTCACTTTTATTATTATTATTATATAAAAATGTCTGAGAAAATATTTCCAGTCTTTTCTTCCCACAAGCTTCATGCATATTCCTGATACATGATAATTCAAAATAAATAAAAATTACTGGTGAACTACTTCAGATATCTTACTCACCACCATCTAGAAATACCTTGCACTTAAGAGATTAATGAACTTTTTGGGCCATTCTAAATCCAGCAGCAACACAATTTTGTCTAATAAATACCTTTTGAGTTAAACAAAATGTTGTTGGTAGTTTGATGGAAGAGATAATAAATATTAAAATGTTTCCGTATTCTGGTTTTTGTTCTCATTATTTAAAATAATAAATATTTAACAAAGTTTCAGTAGAAGTAGTAGAAGTACTGCTAAATAGATAAATGTTATTCCATTCCATGACCTCTTGATTCTATTACACTTGCATTTATGAATATTTACTGAATATTTAATTTCCTTCCTAGAATTGTATGAAAGTTTCAACAATGCCAAAATAAGATGCCTGCAAGATAATCCACAATATAAGGATGGTTTCTTAACTTTATTTTTCATAACTATATAAATATGAACGCTTGCCTCTAAACTAGTCTCTCATTAAAAAAAAAAAACCCACAAAATTTTAAGGTGAAAGACATGTTTATTAATTACCTTTAAAAGGCACTGATTATACAAATCTTCATTTTTGCTGATCTGTATCAACAAAAAATAGCTCTTTGCACATATACCTGTATAAATAATTTCCTATTTCCTGAACTTCTGCTACAATTTCCTCTTCAGCAAAAATCTTTCGGTTTTGAAATTTTCGGTCTTGTAGGTCACAAAGCATCACAACAAGCAAGCTGGTTAGCTCATCTGGCTGCAAGAGAAAAGCAACTGGATAGAAAAAGTGACCCAGCATGAATTATTTCTGAAAAAAGATCCATATCAAACAGCAGACTCCCATGCAAAAGACATTAAAAACCCTTAAATGCTTACTTGCAAGAATATGAAAGTAATTACTTGTGCAGAGTTAATAAAACAGTTTTTTAAAAAATATTTTTTTAAACTCAAATACATAACTTGCAAGTTGTTTTGATTATCAAAATTAAAAACATTCTCCATGTACGCAGATAAAATACTGTATCTTAACTTCTAATGTTATCAGAATTGAAACTTTGAAATTACTTACTCTTCAGAAAGTAGTTTGTCAAATAGCTAAGCTAACAAAAACTTCTTGTCTATCAATTCCTCTCTTGTGAGATTCTTATATATGTAGCATCCAGTACGCTCAGTTGTAATAACCCTTCTGCTTGTGGGATATATAAAACCTCCTTTCTCTGTCTAAATCTTTAAACCAGGGAGCATGTCCTTCTTAAGGACAATAATTTCTGCACTTCAGTTACTACTGTTTGCCTCATTACATTAAATTCTTACAGTTATTATGCCTTCTAAAATTCTCACCTTCTCACAAATAGACTAAAATTAGTTAGAAAACTCAAGTTATTAGGGAGATAGCACCAAACACAAGATGTTAACATGAAAGTCTTACTTCCTTACATAAGGCAAAGATAATGGTGTTAGATCATTTGCCTGCTCACATCAAACTCCACAAACCATATCAGCTCAAGTTTATCTTGCAATTTTCAAAGGCATCAAAGAAAAAACTGGAAGGAACAGCAGACTATTGTGCCAGCTCTAGAATTCCTTTCCATGTCAAAGCAGGAAAGCATGTTGAGAGAGTAAACTGGACCCGTTTTTGCCAGAACAGTATTTGTATACAGTGCTGTTTGCCCAGAAAATGAACCATGGGGTCAATGCATTTTTTTGTCCAATGGGATTCACACTATGCTTTCCAACTCCCAAGGATAGGAAGGAAACATTTTTTTCTCCTGCTCACAAGGGGACACAGCTGGAAAGGAAAGCACATGGACATGGACAATATCACTGAGCAAGTACTGTGCTGCAGTGAAGTTCATGGCTCACTCTCCCACCTTCTTCCTTTGAAGGCTTTGACTTCCAGCAATCAGTTACAACAGAATCTCACAACAGACTTTGGAGATGGATAAGGTCAGCAATATTTCAGTCTAAGGCTGTCATGTACAACAAAGGTTGTTTGGAAGAATGTTATAGAATCCTCAGAAAAGGTACTAATTACATCAACAGAGAAAATAAAAATGCCTAAAAAAAAGGTTCACTTACTATTGAGTAGGATGGGTAAACCTTACTCTCTACCAACACTTCTTCAAGAAGATCTTGATCTGCAAAAAGAAGAAAATGTTGACAAGTCATGCCACTCTCTACAATATTCTATGGAAGTAAGTCACTAAATTGTAATTTTAAACATCATGAAAATTGAGGGCAAATTCAATCACCGACAGCAGCAACCCTATGTAATTAATTTACATGAAAAAGAATAGGCTTTACATGTTTGATTTCACAAATTCTAATAACACTTAGCTATATTTAAATATTTGAGTAGTCTGGTAAATACATATATTCATCCATAATTAGGAAGTGAAAAGAAGCACTGAGATGAGCTCAGTTGGTTAGAGCAGGGTGCTAGTAACACCAAGGTTGTGGGTTCAATCCCCTTACAGGCTTTTCTTGATGATTCTTGTAGATGCCTTCCAATTCAGAATATTCTGTGAATCTGTGACTCTGTAATAACCTGAAGCTTTACAAAAATTTCCCTAGATCAGGCAGACACGGAACATTTGTTTTTCCACGTTTTTCTGCTGCATTATTTCTGTTAGCAATTCTTGAGTGAGTTCTGTACTTACATTTTAGAGTTTTGAAAGCCAGTTCATAGGACACACGCCTGGACTGCTCATCTTTAAAAGCCACCGTGGGAGACCCCGAGGCATCGCCGTAGCGCAGCAGGATTTTACCTGAACTCTTTTCAGTACGAAGGCCTTGAAAAATCTTAGCTGCATTTATGTAGATGGAGTCAGGATAGCCATCCTTCCCAATGTGAGGCACTGCTCTTTTTTTAACAGATCCCTTCTCATCCGAAATTTTCGTTTCACTCAAGACTGAAGTACCATTTATAACATCCACATGTGAAGACTCCAAATTACTTTCAGAATCTGGCATTTTTCCAGTTGCTGACTGTGTAAGGGCAAGTCACAATCCTGCTGCGTCTGCAAAAAAGCAAAGTTTGTATCGAATAATGAAATTTTCTTTCACTAGAATACACTTTTCCCTTCCTTTGAGGGCTTTCAATTTTCAGGCTCTAATCTTGCAATTACAGATATATGCGTATCATCTATATCTCTATACATCTCTCATCTTACACATCATAGAGAAGTATTTATAAGAGTTTTCTTACATTTGTTTTCACCAATGCACATGCAAAGACTGGTTACTTGTTTCAAAAAGTCCAGTGCTTTACAATCACAGGTCCTTCATGGAATATACACACAGATCTGATTCTGTGTCCAATAAGAACCATTATTATTGCAGGCAGAATAGCATCTCTTACTAGCAATTCTCCTTTAATAAAAAAGACACCAAAATTTCAAAGCAGACATCATGTCTTGCAAAGAGCCATCTTGGAAAGAGCAGCAGTGAATTCCAAATGCTTGTCCACTAAACTGCATATCTGTTCTTAAAAGTGGAAAACATAGATCAGCCAAATGTTAAAGTATTTAATGCATTACCTAAGCACAATTTTTAATGCAGGAAACCCATTCTGAGAGTCTTTAGAGATAATATCCAACTCTCTCTAAGTCCCTGTGCATTTCTTAACTTTTCTACACATCTTACATTAACATATATAAAAATGACCTTCCCAGAGGTGGAATAGGGCTTCAAGAAAATGAAAGTGTCCCGAAATTAACTGAATGCAAAAATATTCTAAAGTTCCACATAAAACATATTTGAAATATTGGATTTACCCTACTTGCTCTGGTTGTTCCAACATGCATTTATGATAATGCCTGGATATGCAGAAGTCATATTAACCGTTCAGAAGTGGGTTAAGCCAAAACAAATTTAAACACAGAATAAAGATTTTTAAAAATCTAACTAGTCTTCCTGCCTAGGAAAGAATAATACAAAAGAACTATGAGGAATTTAGTAGCTATAGCACAAAAAGCTAGGCATGGATCTCAAATGGAAGGGGTCTTCTTCTTTGCTACATGATTTAGTTCATTACAACAATTCTCAAGCTTTTTCCCTGCACTCCCCAGCACCACTAAGGATAAAATACACACCTCTTCTCCCCAGTTCAGAAACACTTGCTCAGCATCCTATCTTCCTCTCCCCTTTTCTCCCTCCCATCACAAAAAACCAGAGTGGCAATGGAGGATGGCAGCACACAGAGTTGGAGGGGCAAGGGAGGGGGACACAAACTGTTCCTTCTCCAGCAGGCAGCCATTAAATCTCCATGCTGGGCCAGCATTCCCCCATTCAAACTCCCTTTCCCAAACATGGGTGACACTCAGCCCATCTCTCCCCTCTCCAAGACCAGCACAAGTCAGTGTCTGACCAGCCCAGCACACTCCACACAATGGACCAGTGTGGCTTCCCGAATTCTGGCAACCCATCTGGAGGAGGCCACATCTCATTCTCCTTCCTCAGGATTTGCTCTCCAAAACTGAGAACTGCTAACCCTGCAGAAGCAACCCTTACTGTTACTTTACAGAGGCCTCAGACAAACAGCTTCTTCCAGCAGTTTTGCTCCAACATCCCTGTTAGATGCAGCAGTTATGGATCCATGGAGCAAACATAAATGTATTTTATGAAGCCATATTGAAACACAACAAGCAATGCTATCAAAAGAAAGCCCTATTCTCCACTAGAATGAAGCACCAGATCACCTAAAACAAATTGAAACACTTGTGCTCAGAAAGGGAAAAGAAAAACCATAAATGCTTTCATGATCTTTTACACTATTTTGACCAGCAAACATATATCTCACAGAAACAGGGGCACCATGTCAGAGACCTGAAACTTATATGTCTTCTCCAGGGGAATGCAAATATTCTATTTTAGAATATGGAACAAGTGAACTATGTCTGTGGTGTAAGGACTTTGAAGATTTGTAGAGTTTCCAATTACTCTTTGTGACTTCTTTGCCAAAGCCATTTCTGCTAGCCACAACACACACTGCTATCAATGACTTGATGAATATACTTTCCCAAAAGATAAATGTCACCCTAATAAAGATGAGATGCCAGTGTTCTGCCCAGTACAGCATGTTTGCAACTCTGTAAATCACAGTCTGATTTACTGAATGCTGTACCAAGCAGACAACGCCAAGCTGGATTAATACAAAGCTCAGCTGGGAAGAAGAGCTTCCCAGACAAGAGAGAAAAGATCCTGCCTTTGTTTGTGGATCTCAAGCACATTACTCAGTTGATAGGGAAAGAAAAACCACTAAGGTCTCAAGGTCTCCAAAACCAGAATGGCTTGAAAGATAAGTCCAGCTTTGCCTTAATAAACTCAAGCAGACAGAATTATGACATTTATTCACTGCACAGCATAGTAAGTGATTCACACACACATCCCCATAAAAATCACTAATTCCTTTGTTTATACACCAGTAAGTGTATTTTTCCCATTTCCTCAGTTATCACCTTTTTCAGTAGCCTCTACAAATAAGGAAAATAAAGAGAAAAAAACCCACGGCACCTGTGTTGTATCAGGTACAGGAGGCAGCCTGACCTCCCAGCTCCGATTCACATGAACAGGGACCCCACGAGAAGCGGGTGTGTGAGCATGGACGTGGCTGCTCACATACAAACAAACAGTAAGTCCCTGACAGCCGTACATGCACCCCGGTTTTCGTCTCACTAACTCTGTGGGGACGCATGGCTGCATCTGTTTCCTACCATCCCTGCGGACTGACACTGAGCTCCAAAGCCTCGGCTGTCCCCAGCTCCAGCCAAGCTGGAGGGCAGCAAAGACTGCTGAGAGTCAGGAAAGTAAGTCAGCCACGACACCATTCCCCTACTGCGCTTTATTCATGAGAAACAGCTGAACTCCACTCACAGGACAGGCATACAGAAGGGCAGCAGGGAAAAAAGCAGCTATTTCTTTGTAAAATCAGGCAAAGCGTTGGTTCGTTGAAACCCTGCTCTGACAGGCCCTGAAAGGCACACCCAGCTCCCCAAAGCCGCGCGGCCGCGTCAGCGCCACTGCCCTTGGCCTGGGCAGGGCCGCGGGGCTCGTACCTGGCCGGGCTCCTGCGGCGCCCTCGGGGCGCTACGGGCGGGGCTGCGGGCAGCACCCCCGGGCCCGTGCCGGGCAGGGGCCGCCCCATGCCGGGCAGGGCAGCGGGGCCCCGGCACGGCCCGTCGGCCGCAGCCGCCCGGCCCCGCCGCGGCCCACACGCACCCGCGGCACCGCTGCGGGGGCCGGGGCGCCGCCACCCGCTGTGCTCGGGCCGGGGCGCCGCCCGCACAGGCCCCGCCGAGCGCGGCCTGGGGTTCCGGCTCCATCCGCAGGGGCCGGGCCGAGCCCCCAGCCCGCGGCACCCAGCGGGGCACAGAGCGCTCGGCAACGGCGCGCACGGGGCTGGGGCGGAGAGCGCTTCCAGAGGCTTCCCTGAGCCGACCTCCGAGCAAATCCCTTCGCGGGAGACAGAGCTGCTCCCATGCTCCTTTTGGAACCTCAGTTTGTTTTGTTGTTTTGTTTGGTTTTTTTTAAACCCCATTGGTTAAAAAAAAAGTCCAAACAGCATTAATTGTCGCAAACTCCATGAGCACGCTTACAGCCGAGTGTTACCGACACTCTCACGCCTCACAGCATCCAAACGCCACCAGTGACAGGACTGGAACTCCCCCAAGTACAGAAATAGCCCCAGAAAAGGTGCTGGAGTTTCACTTGCACTTCAAATTAGCAGCGTGATCGTGTGACGTTTTAGCTGTCTTGGCCTCTGCTTTTACTCGGAGTTTGAAAACATAATTGGGACATGTTCTATTATTGTTTCCAGATGTTTTCTTTTTAAAAAGGAAGGGAAAAGGGAAACAATTATTGAAAATATTTCAGCAATCAATAAGTCAGCCACAACCTTTGTAAAAAAACTAGAAATCTCCTTTTTCCCTGTAGAGTTTGTTCCTGTTACATAATGCTTTCATGGACAACTTTAATTCTCCTCAATAAGGGGAAAACTGCTGTGATTCTGTTAAAATCTGTGATGACTTTTGGAGTGTCATTTCTCCAACAAGATCCTGCCTAGCACCTCCCAATAGCACCTGTCACAGGTACGAGTGCCCTTACACAGGGAAAATAGAAGTACAGACTTCTGCAGCAGGGCTGCACAAAAGCTACGTAACCAGGGCTTTGGTATAGGTTGGCTGCACGTTTGGTAGAGCACAGTACAAACCTTAGTATAGCCATGCTTTTACAGATTGTGTGTTTACAGAGTTTTTTGGGAACAAGCTCCATTGAAGCACACAAGCCAGTGCTTGTTATTCCTGCCAAAAACTTGGGTGTTAGCCAGATCCCTTTCTGGTATCAATCTTATCAGATATCTAAGCAAACCAAGATGTGACTCTGTGCAATCATCTGCATCAGGACTAGAAAGTTTGGGGAGTCAAAAGCAGAGCTTAATTTGTTGATGAAACCTCTCTGGTCTGGATCTGCTACGTGCTCCAGCATGGCTGGTGCAACTTTGGCAGCAGCAATTAGTTACAAAGTGAACCAAATATGCTGAGTAGACTTTGCACGTAGCAGCTCAAACAGATCTTGAATTCCTTCCTGATAAACGGGTAAAATACATGTTTAATAGGTTGTGTGGGTCAATAGGGCAGTATGCTAGCTACAGTATAGATAGAAAGGAATTTTTTGTGCTGGTTTTTCCATTTTGTCCAAATAGATACGGCAGGTCTTTTACAAAGACACGGCTCAAAATTGCTGCCCAAAGTCAATTTCATTTATGTGTACTAATATTTCATCTTTACTTTGAAATAGTTTATTTTGCTAAAAGTTCTGCTAAGAATTTTCAGTATCTGGAGCTATTTGTCTTTTGAACAAAATAAATATATATTAGCACCACTACCTCATTTTAATTTTGTCTGTGACGTTTTGATCTACTATCCCCTCATACTAAGCCCCTGTAAAACTCCCTCATATTTTAAGTTAGACTTTTTCATC